CTACATGAGAATGCAACGACCGGCAGACTGAGAGGGTAAACCTATAACATTGTACATGCATCAATGAAAAAATTCAATGTATTTTGTACCGTACAAGACAATTTATTAGCAAGAGTGCTTTGGCAAATACGTGTAACCTGTCTGTGGAAAGTAAGTGATAAATTTGATACTGGCCATTTTTAAGTACGAAATGTCATTGAGCAAGCTCAGATTAAAACAAAAATGCTTGATTTAATGAGCCACTGATTTGCCAATATCAACTCCCAGTTATCTTGTATGGTATTACTTGTACATGCATGTACATGAGTCCGTAAATGTAGACAAAGGATCAATATTAAATATTGTTTTGATATCATTAATTACCAATCCTATACCTTGGTTGTACTGGTATGTTTCCAACTAGTCCGCTCAGTTCCTCCATTGTTCCTTCTCCCTCCTCTTGCTGTCCACTCTCTTCCGTCCCTCCTCCTCCTCCTCCGATTGTCCGAGTGTTGAATACTGTCAGGATATTGTCTGCTAGTTTCTTGCAATGCTTGAGGTCGACCCATACCCGATCACCGGTTGCATCATCAATGTATGTCTTAATAAAAATAAAATAAATAATTTACTGTTAATGTACCGTAAATATTCAAATAAAAGCCTGGACGTTTATTTCTTTCCAGGACAAAAAAAATTGCGTAAAATAAAAAAAAGAAAAAGTAAAATTGAGATTCGAACCCGGAACTCCAGGTTCAATACACACAGCTTAACAAGTTAGGCCATTTGGGACACTCTAAAAATTGTGGTACTTATATTGAGTAAAATATACGTATCTATACTTGGAGATTCTTAGTACCAGGCGTTTATTCAAGCCCGGCCTTTATTTGAACATTTACGGTACATGTACCTGTAGAAAAATTTTTGACATTTTTCTTTCAAAAAGTGTCTTTTTAGTTTATGTCTATTCGTCTATTGGTAAATTATTCTCAGTGCATGTATCAATACTTAAGTCTAAAGATTTAAACTAAGAAAAGTTGATTGAATCAATCCTTCCCTCTCTCTCTCTCTCTTACTTTTGCAACATTCTCTGGCCAGCTGTTGGAGTCCTTCAAGCAGAAGAGGATAAGATTGCAAGCCAGTGAGTATGTCGCTGGCTCGGAACGCATCTTAAATATAGCGCCACTCTCTCTCTTTAAGACGGACAGCAATGCCTACGATAGAGTGGATTTAAATACGGTTAAAAATACAAATATTAAATATTCAAAAATTCATAAAAAATCTAATCTTGATCGGAATCACCTCAAAATTTCTACACAACATAAGAACATGTATATATATCAGAATACATTATAAAAGTAGAAAATTCTCTCCTAGTACTTTTTGCCAAAATTTGGCCAAAAACCATGTACTATAGCCCATGGTCTTTGGCCCAATTTTCAAGTAACTTTAAAAATTCGTAAAAAATCCAAATTTGATCAGAACCAGCTCAAACTTTCTACGCAACATAAGAACATGAATATGTATCAGAAAAAATTATAAAAATGATAAATTCTCTCCTAGTCATTTTTCTCACATTATATCCTGTACTACAGCCCATGGTCTTACCTCCACTATAGCGTTCCCTGTGAATAACTGAGGATGGTTGGTTGCTATAGTGATAAGTGCATCATTTAGCTTCGGGTCCGCCTTGAGCCGAGCATTCTTCAGCTGCTTAATACTTCCTAATAATAATTTACTAGCTTTAGGACTCGTGGACTCTCCGCTCAAAGCATCACCAACTGCCTGAACCAACTCTGTAGCTCGAACTAAAAAAATTAATTAAAAATTTTGACAGGTCACCCACAAAATTTGAATGGATGATCCCAAAAAATTAATTTGCACGTAACATACCCTCGATGGATTGAGCTGCTGGGGATTTACTGGAACTGGAGGATGAGGAAGGAGTCACGGTTGCATCACTAGCCCCACCTACCCTAGCCTAATAATTAATTAATTAATTATTATTAAAATATTAATATCAACGTGCTTGTGCAAGACGAATTGGGTTGGAGAATAGGTCACCGCCTCCACTGGTCTCTTCCTCCTCCAAATGAATCCTTTTTGTAGGAGGTCCCCCAGAGACACTAGGAGAGGATTGACGGGATCCTGTCTTACTACCCAAGGCAAAGAAGTCACCAGAGGGAGGGTGGCCTTAAAAAAGATAAAATAATGTAGAGTTTTAGGGAATACCTTTAGGTGGTCTCCCACCAGAAGAACCTCCAGAAACTCCAGTACCTTTTTTACCAGCACTCATGGTTTCACATTGATTTTAATTTTTTTCAATTTTCCTATCAGTTGTTTTATTAGAACAAATACGGTGGAAACTGCTAATAGAGTTGATACGGTGTTTGTCTTTGGGAGGTTCCTTGCTCACTGCTCAGTTATTTGTTTGTGCTAGAGGAAAAAGCAAACACCTTCTCTGTTTCTCTTTCTAATGGATAAAAGGAGGAGCCCTTCATCCTCACAGGATGAGACGGGACCAGAAGTTGTGCTACGGCCATCGAGACCCAAGCCACCCCATCTGAGCCACAGAGCCTCTAGCTCGTTCATACCTGAAGAAATAGAAGTAAGTACATGCAAAGACACTCTACAAGCCGAAATACAAGCCTTCCCTCCATCATCTACAGGCTCTCATGCTTCAAACTATTGCAGTAATCTGTTAGGCCTTTTAATTACTTTTTTTTGCATGAATGATTCATTGAAACTGCTACATTTCTACTAATTCATGATTTTTTTCTTTTTCTCTCTTCCTCCATCCAGTTCATGTTTCAACCTGATGTGTCTCCTGATCTTGCTGGCATGCTGCAGAAGAAAGGGCGTCGCCTGAAAGCATGGAAGCAGCGCTACTTTGAAATTCAAGGGGCCAACATGTACTACTTTAAGAATGAAAGGGTAACAGAAATGCACACACTCACACATGACACTTAGAATTCAAATCACTTAATGATTCGCACGCAAGTCACTTTATTAATATGAAACAAAAATTCCATAAAAGGAAATTGATGTTTGTGTAAAATCTGATGTTTTCTTTACTTTTCATCATTTGATTATAGTCACGAGGTGAGTGTTTAGGATACATTGACCTGACGCAGGTGCGTTGTTTCCGTAAATATGAACTGCTTTTTTAAAAGTAACTTTCATTATCCCAGATTTATTATGTCGGCAAGTCAACTGCTGCAAGCTTCGGAGCACCTTTTGAGTTACAGACAACAGGCCGCATTCATTTACTAGTAAGAAGAATGGAGAGAGAGAGGGGGGGGGGGAAGGAGAGAGAAGAAGCAGCCTTGAAAATTGAAACTGTTATTGTGTTCATAGGCTGCTCGTAATGACAGCGACAGGGATAAATGGATAAGTGTTATCAAGTCCAAAATGATCGACCGTGCCAAGTTAGTAATGCACAAATAAAAGTTTATTCACTTGTAATAAGAATGTATAGTCATCACCATCATATATGTCTCCAAATGGCAATGTAAGAATGTTTTAATAAGCAGCTGGCATTTGTGATTCAAACTATTATTTTAATGGCTTAAATGTGTATGCACTTTGCTTTGAGCATATGGAGCAGTATAAGCACATGCTACCATTCTTTTTTAAAACATTTTTACTTACATTGCACGCGTTATTTCTAGGGGAAAAAGTAAAAGAGGAAGCAAAGCCGATGTGAATGCTGTTTTTCAAAATCGAGACAGGCGGGCCACAATCAAATATAGAGCTGGAAAGCCTCCTCCAGTCCCACCTCCTCCTTCCATTGGTAAAAAGTTGAGCATACCCGAGGAGCCTACACCAATAAAGTCTTCTCAGAGTTTTCCAGAGTTTGCCGCGAAGAAGATTGAAGTGGTACAGTCTCCAAGCCATTATGACATGTCATTAGCAGGGCAAGAAAATCCGCCTGTAACTAGCACTCAAAAAGAGACATCACTTCTTTGCCCACCCCCACCTAACGCTGTCCCTTCGGTTCCTCCTCAGACTCTTCCTCCTCAACCAACTAATGAGCCTCCACCTCCTCCTCCTCAACCAACTAATGAGCCTCCACCTCCTCCTATTCTTCAAGACATTCCTTCTCCTGCTTTAATTGATGAGCAGGTTGCTTTTGAATGCGTGCCACCATTGCCTGTTGAGGTAGCTCCTCCAATGCCAGCAGCACCAACTAACAACCAGCCAGAGCCCACTGCTCATCCTCCTCCTAACAAGAGAGCCTCTATTCTTGATGATCTTCCTTCCCCAGAGGATATTGCTATGGATCTCTCAATGTCACTAGGAGGTGTTCCCGATAATACAAAGAGGTCCTCCATTTTGGATGAGCTTCCTTCCCCTGAAGTTGTTGTTCCTCCTCCATTGGAAGATGCTAGTAATGATAGACGACGGTCTATTATTGACGATCTTCCCTTACCTGATGAAATCTTTATACCTTCTACTGTGGAAGACCTCGCCACAGGTAAAAGAGCTTCTATTTTGGATGATCTTCCTTCTCCGGATGAGATTATGACGCCTCCTCCAACAGGAGATGTTCCTAGGAGCAATCGCTCATCCATTCTTGATGATCTTCCCTCGCCTCATGAATTACTCATAAACCCTCCATTGGATGATTTCGTTCTAGTTGATGCATCTCCTTTTGATTTTGGTCCTTTACCGGGAAGCGTTCCTTCTCCACAGCCAGTTCCTCCATTGGTTGATATCACTAGTACAAATGGTGCTCCTTCTCAACTAGGAGGATCACCATCTCCTCATGCATTTGGTGTAGCAGATAGTGACGTTGTCAGCAAGTTGAGAGAGCTCTTGAATCAAGATGACAGCAGCTGGAAATTGCCTTATGATGGATCTCTTCTGCCTCCAATGAACACCGAGTGGATGCAGAAGGGCAGTGCTGCTGAACAGCTGAGACATTTCTTACAAGTGTGCCCATAATTTTATATATATATTTTTTAGCTTTATTTCTGTAGTACATAATTTATATATTATACCTTTGAAATGAAATATAATAATAAATATGTTTTTATATTAGAAATAAATTAAAATCAATGATGCTACGACTATTATTACTATCGTTAAAACAATCAGCAAGGTGGTGTGAGATTTCTCCTTTTTCTTTTTCCCATGGCCTCTTTCCTTAAACCACTTGACTACTCCGTCAAGTGTCTTTGGTTCTGGTTGATACCCAAAGTCCCTAGTTGCCTGCTCAATGCTAAAATAATGAGTGACGCCAACTTTATAAACCTAATAATAATAATAATAATAATAATGACAATAATTAATCATGCTTGTATTAATTCATTACCTCTGCTCTTGTCATAAAAGGCTTGAAATTGTAGACTTTGGAAATGATGCTGTGCAATATTTCAATGAAATATGCTAAAAAGATAGAACGAAATAAAATGTAAATTTTATTTCAAGCATTTACCAACATAGTACATAATCCACAGTGGCAGTCTCACTGTTGGATAGCTATAACCTAATCCTGTTATCTAAAAATGAAGAAAATGTAAAAGACATTATTGTAGAGAGAGAACTTACTAAAGGTTTGAGGAACATAAAGTTATTAATTGGATTGTTATCTGATATAAAGTATGGTTTTCCAGACTACAAAAAAACACATTTAAAATTGTATTTTTTTATAGTGTAACTAACTGGAATCGATCTAGGCAGCATCAATGCTGCAGCTGCCTTAATGTGTGCCTGCACTAAATTATCAACATGGAGAAAATCAGTTTTGACATCTTTGTCTCCGAAAGTAAACAGAACCAATCCCTTTTCAAGATAATCCTTGAAAAAAATGACAACAAATTCATTATCATTATTATTAGTAGTAGTATTAGTAGTATTTGAAAAATAAGCATAAGAAGAGGATTACTAGTACATGAAATTATCAATAAAGTCCCTGCTCATATGGAAACTAACCACTATTCTTGGTAGGTGTCTTTGTTCGCCCTCACCATATATCCCAGCACAACGAAGAGCACAAGTTCTCAATACAGATCCCTCTTTCTCCAGCTTGGCTCCGTTAGCTGCTAATACAGCTTGCTCTGCAATGCTTTTCGTTCTACTGTAGTGATCAACATGCTAAATATACATCCATTAAACCGAAACTAATAGATAAATACAATGTACTTTGTCTAATGGGTAATATGGTAGAGACTCTGTTCCATTGATAATCTTTTGACCACAGAATACAACATTGTATGTACTCGTGTACACAAGGCTCTCGACACCATTTTTAATGCAAGCTAAAAAAATTTTAAAAAGCTAATAAAATTTTTGCAGGTTGCAACAGAAGCAAAATATTCAATATTACTTTCTATGACATTTCTTGTGCCTTGTATGTTTACACTCTCAATCATTTTCTTGTCAAACTACAGTAGGTTGTTGTACAAGTACAAGCTCAAGTACAAGGGCGTGGCTAAGTATTGTACTGACCATTTGGAGTCCAGACATTCCGTAAGATGCAACATGAAAGATGACATCAGGACGTAACTTGGAAACTATTTTATTTAAAAAATCGAAATTTCTAATATCACCCTGCATTTGGGCGAAATATAAAAAAATACACTCAATGGGCCCTAGATCAAACTCTATTAATTTAATACTTTGATTTTATTTGCTCCCTCTTTTTCGTCTTCTATGAAGTGAACATCTATAGCTGTCACTTTATCGTATCCTTCTTTCACTAGTTGCCGGCAGAGTCTGCTCCCAACATACCCTCCACCACCAGTTACTACTGCTGACATAACTAAAGGAGCTAAAGAGCCCTGCCCACCAACCAATCATAACATAAATAAATTAAACTTCCAAGTTTATAAAAGAACTAACTACAAAGAATCATCACACCACTATTAAAAAATAGTCTATTGTTTTTACTAGACTAATCTAGCCTATAATCACACATTATTATTTAATTGCGTCTCATCTTCATTTCAGCAAATTTAAGCTCATCAAACTGCGGGCCTGCCTTTGGGTCCCTACTTGACATCCAATCAAACCCATATTGATGAGTTCCATATCGTCCAGTTAAATTAGCATGATAGCAACCATGATACCACCAACCTCCATTGTTCCGATTTGATGCACAGTGCACTCCACCCCAAGTGTCAAGATCACGATCATATGTAGAAAACCTGAGTCCATTATGACCTGTAAGTGCATCAAAACCAGTACCAGAGTAACCACTGAGTGATAGTTGATAAGCACTATTACTATCACCAATACTGAATCTAGAGTACTTAGCATACTGCTTAACTCCAGGGTATTTATAACGAAAGGCTATTTCAACACGAAGTGTGTATGTTCCACCTTGATTTGTTAACTGGTGCATTTTTACATTGCCAAGCCAATGTTCTCCAGTAAGGTCACCAAACCCACTCTCATATTGTGCCAAGTTACGATGGAACTCAACAGAGCCATCTTGTCTCCTTAAAAGTACAGTCCATCCACCACCATCAGTCTCCATATCACAATACACCTATAAAGCATCAGTGAATTAACATGCAGTAAAAGAAACTTGATGGATATTTACCAGTACTACATTAGTTCCATCAGGACTGATGGGATAAACCTTGCTCTCATTAGCTCCCATTTCAAGCCATGTCTTGCAATCAGGAGGAGCAAAGCAAACTAAATGAGTTAAAGGATTGTGAGGATATACTGAACATTGATTCATTACCAGGTTGAGCATTGACTTGAGTGCTTGGTGGATCAGGTATTCCATTGACCCATGGTGGAGTAGGAGTAGGAGATGGAGTCACTACTGCTGCAATACTAGTAGTCACTGCAACTGAAGGAGACACAGTTGAACTCTCACCAACTGTTGGTACTGCAGCACTCTGAACAGTGAGAGATGGTGAAGGGGTACCACTTGCAATGTTCTATAATGAAAAGTATTGAAAATACAATGACAATAATGATGATGGCATTACTGTAGTTGATTCACTGCTAGTATGTGAAGGCAATGGTGAAGATGTTGTATCATCAGGACAATTCCCACTGACAAGGCCTATATTAACCAATGCCAAGCAAGCAACAATCAAAACTGGTTTATTATGAATAAAGCTACTCATAATTTCCAGGAGTATTCTAAATTTCTGATCTATGTCTCTAGTTAGCCTTCCTTTTATAGCTGCTGTCAAAGTAATCCCAACGATTGAGATATTTCCTAAGTGTGTGCATTAGTAACGTTCCTTAACGGTTTGAAAACACGCCATGTTGACTCATAACGTTCGAATCATAAACATGAAACCACATTTTCACTATACCAGTAATGTCAAGAGCAAGATATTGAATGAGTCAACACTTTAACAGTTAACACTTATGCTAAATTTTTAAAATAAATTCAATAATAATAACTATCATAAATGTTCATAATAATAATAATTATAATAATAATAGTACTGATTAAATGTTCTGAGAGAGTAAGGTCATAAACATAGCTGATGGAGATGTTGCTGGTGTAGCATACATATTAGTGTCTACTAATGAGATTGCTGCTTCTAATTTATCAGTGGCAGATGCAACAAGGCTAGCCTGTGAAGCTGTGGAGCCACTGCTAGTCGAGGTTGAGCTAGCAGTTAGGCTATCAATTGGAAAACCAGTAGAAGTTGGTGATTTATCCATTTCTAGCATGTTAGCCACAGCAGCTGAAATGTTTGACATGAGACTAAGGTCAGTTGCACTTAAAGTGGTCAAGTCTTCAGTGGATGGTTGGTGATTACCAACTGGGAGTTGAGCTATGCTCAGGGGCTCTGACGAACTATCGAGTCTAAACCTTTTAGTGACAGTTTTTTCGTCATTGCTCTCCCTACTTTCGCTACTTGACTTCTCTGCTGCAGACTGTCCCTTTTTATTGAAGCTCAATACAACCACTGGGCTGGGTATGGAGGGGTGGCTGGAGTTGTCGTGATGGAAGGTCCTCTTGTGTCTTATGAGGTCTTTCTTGTGAATGTATGACTTTGTACAGCCGCTAAAATCACACGGGAACCTCAGGGTAGTAGTCGTACCATCATCCCCTCCAAGTCCCTTGATAGACCCACAACCATTATTACTGCCAGTAGCCTGAGCACTAGGAGTAGGCGAACTGCTGGATATCTCAGTGATGATCGAGCCAGCAAGATGACAGTGTCGCTGGTGACGTCTCAGGTCCTTCATGTGGAAATACGACTTGCCACACTCGCCAACTTGACACACGTAGGGTTTTGCTGGCGTCTCAATAATGCGAGGCTGAAGGACTCTGGGTAGTGATCCATGGGCAGACTTCATGTGTCGTATGAGATCCTTCCGATGAATATAAGACCTAGCACAGCCCTCAAACTCACAAGGGTACTTACAAACACAGCTAGGGCCCTCGTCTGACGTATCCATGCTTGAATTACTGTCGAAACCATTAGCAGAGGAAAGTGTCTGACTCTCTTCCTCAAATAAAGCCTGTAGGGTCTCATCCCCCACTTCACACTGTATCCCAACCTCCTTCTTTGTGCACATGTTGATGATGACTACAGAGGGCTTTTTACTGGGCCCAACCCCAATGTTGCTTGTTTCTGGAGGAGGCTCCAGCTGCTCTTGAGTCTGACAGCTGACAGAGGAAGAGGTTGAAGAGCACTCCCTGGCCTCATGATTCCCAGTAGAGACTGAGGAAGAAGTGGAAGGGAGAGAGGTGTGACCTTTACCCATGAAGTCCCCTGCACTACTCAAGGGCTGTGGTTGTGGCTGGTAGTTTTGATAGGAGGCATCAAAAGGGAACATGTGATTGAAAGCTCCTGGATGTATATGTTGCTGCATAGCAGGCATCCCATATTGACCCATGGCACCAGTTGGATCCATAGGAGGATATCCATAGCAGTTCATAGGGAAGAGAGGTGAGTAAGAGAAGCCGTGGTGAGGAGGGGGGAAGTAGGCTCCTCCTCCCCCTCCAGAATAGGCTGGCGCTAATTGGTTTGATAGGAGAGGTGTTGAAGAGGGAACAGACTCTGCTAATATGTTACCATCATAAGCTGACTGAGGCGAGAAAACGTCAGGGGTTGATTGTGATTGGGTTCCACTATACCCTGTAATGAAAACAGGATTACTACAGAACATAGATCAAATGCACAAGAATGTTCTAATTGCATAACAAGGAGACAAATTTACAAATACAAAAGAGGATTGGAGCCAACACTCATTTGTTTTTTGAAAGGATTCAGTTGATGTGACAAATACACAAACATAAATACTCACCAGTATTTGTGGCTGGTATTGTTATTGCTTTCGGTCGCGATGAAGTAGAAGCATTTCCATTGTTACTCTCACTAGTAAACACTGGAGTAGTACAAGAAGATGCATTATTGTTGTTGTTATTAGAAGAAGAGGAGGAACATGTCGTTCTCTGTGGAGTAGCTATCCTTGTTTGAGTGGGAGGATCATTCAATGGTGCTAATGCGAGAGCTGGTGGTTGATTGCTTCTAGGGCCAGAGTCTTCATTGCTTGATGTACTGCCAGTACTACCGGTACTTCTACCGATTGGTCTAACAGCTAAAATAATGACAGAATAAACATTAATGAGATGTTTTGTATAATGTTTGAGCAATGTTTGTTTATAATAAAAGACAAAACTTTAATCACTTACTGTTTGAGGTTCCAGTGACATTGCCAGAGCCATGCTGGGTTCTCATGTGCTTGGAGAGGTACTCCGTCCACTTGAATGCCTTTCCGCAGATCTTGCAATTGTAGGGACGTTCTTCAGAGTGGGTACTCAAGTGACGCTGGAGCTTGTGTCTGCTCAAACACTCTCGTCCGCAAATATGACAGACTCGTCTTAGCTTTGGTCGGGAGCTCAGCGACTTACGTAATGCAGCAATGTCCATCGATGTGAGAGGAGGAGGGGAAGAGGTCCTGGAATGAGTGTTGTTCTCTGAGAGAGAGGAAGTGGTAATGGCTGGTGAGGATTGGGTAAAGGGACCAAACGGATCCTGCAGGTCCTGCAAGTTGAAATCATTATTATTATTTCTCTGCACAAGTAGGAGCTGGCCAGCAGAAGAGACGGGAGGGGAAGGGAATGAAGAGGAGATGGAGCTGCTAGAGTTATCTCCTGTGGTCTGTACGTTGAAGTGCGGTTCGGTCTGCTCTAGTAGCGCCTCCATGGTCGGATTGTGTACAGGTGAGCCTCTCACTGCGGACTTTTCGCTAGGCCTCATCAGCCGGAGGGCAGGCTAGTACCCAAACAACATGCCTTAAGTAGATCCTATGAATGAAAAATCCACCAACGACCAAAAATATTTGGGAGGACCGTTTACAAGAAAGAATGCCGGTCTGACGTCAGAGATAAGGCTAAGCTCAGCTGATCGCTATTCCTTTCTCTTTCAGTGAGAAAACTTCAGACTAAAAATCACATCTTTTCCTAGTCTCATCTTTTTTTTAAATCCTCAAAATGAGCAAGATGTCGGTCTGCCTTAGAAGAAAATGTCCCAACTTCCACTGCCTCTGGAAATGTTTGCTGAGCCATCTTGGGTGGAGCTCAATAATTAATTTGTAATATGGAGGATAAGCCTGAGAATGCTCCAGAAAGTAAAAACAAAGACAGGATTGAGTATAACACTCTCGTCTCTCCTTCTAGGTTGTCCTGGTACGCAGAGCCAAGAGGCTGGGAACACCTCAGCTTGTCAAGGCTGCCCCAATCAGAGCATCTGTGCCTCTGGTGCCCCCAAAGCACCAGACCCAGGTAGCTATATACTACTATATCAGTCACTAGTAGTTGAATACATATACAGCTATAGGTGAGATTGAGAGTCGCTTATCGTCAGTCCGTCATAAAGTTCTGATACTCTCCGGGAAAGGAGGAGTAGGGAAGAGTACATTCACAACTCAGCTTGCGTATGCATTAGCCAGTAATGAGGAGAGACAGGTACATGTCGTGTACATGTACATATGATTAGCACTAGTTTATTAGTTATGGGTATGGGTATGTTAACAGGATATTACATGCATGTATATTTATTTTTATGTGCCAAAAGTTACTCAATAACAATTCCTTTATTTCCTTTATACTCAATACTAGTATTATCATCTAATACTAGGTTGCTGTATTAGATATTGATATATGTGGTCCCTCACAGCCTAAGATGCTGGGAGTTGAGAATGAGCAAGTTCATCAGAGTGGATCAGGATGGTCACCTGTTGTAAGTCAAAGGATCATTGCATCCTGTGAAGTATAAGCCAAATAGCTTAATTACTATCACTTACATAACAAGTGTAAGGCGTGGCAGCCTTGTTTAATATACTTGGAATAGTGCATTCACAATAATGGCTCTTGCATGCATTTCACTCATATTTGTCTATTATTTTGTTTATTTATTTATTCATTTTTTATTTGCAGTACATTCAGGATAATCTCTCTGTGATGTCAATCGGTTTCCTGCTTGGTAGCCCTGATGATGCTGTCATATGGAGAGGACCAAAAAAGAATGGTATAATATAATGCTCTTCTCCATCCATGCAGCCTCTTCAAGAGTACTCTTGGTGTCATAAATCGTCTGTTATTTTAAGCCCATCCTGTTATGCTTGATAATAACTGTTTCTTAGAGATTCTGATCTCATTCTTACCTTAAAGCTGATGATTTCATTTATTTTAGCTGTCAAGTAGTGACAGCCTAGAGTGTCTGTATAAATTAAGCCTCTTCTTTGTGTCTTAGCCATTATTCACAGGTTACTCCCTAGCCTTTTCCAGTTGCACCCCTTTAGAAAATTTAAAAAATATTTGCACAACAACACGTACAATTAATTTCCTTGTTAATATTAATTTGGTTTTAGGTCTCATAAAGCAGTTCCTACGTGACGTTGATTGGGGTGAGTTGGACTATCTTCTTGTTGATACTCCTCCTGGAACTTCAGACGAGCACTTAAGCATTGTCCAGTATCTTGGAGCTGCTGCAGGTATTGACGGTGCAGTTGTAATAACGACGCCACAGGTATTGTCATTGATTAATGCGATGTTATTATTTTATTAGAAGATTTATATTTTGTAATTAAAGTGGTTTTTGACCCTCCATAGTTCAGTTTATGGGATGCAGCGATTTGTGGATCTGTTTAGATATTTAATTTGCTGTCATAACTTGCACTTTCTAGCCTTCCCAATTAGTAGAACGTGACCTTTCTGTCCCATGAGATTGTGATCAGCACATCCAAGCAACAAATTACTTTGAATCAATCGACATTTTAATTGAGAAACAATAAAGCCTCAGTAGTATTGCATTATCATGCATAATTCAAAGTTTTTAAACAGTTAACTTGCATGGAAAGCATGGCATATTAAGTAGATTATATATGTGCATTCATGCACGTACTGGCGGTAATGTATTATGAATTTTATTCGTATTTTTGTGGCCAGTAGTCCTATTTAAATCCACCCTTGATTATCATTACTCTGACATCATAATTTGTTTTGCATTTCAAAGGAAGTCTCTCTCCTCGATGTGAGGAAAGAAATTAACTTTTGTCGAAAAGTCGGCGTGCCGGTTCTTGGTGTTGTGGAGAACATGAGTGGATTCATCTGCCCCAAATGCAAAGTATGACTATATTGCTGCAACAAATCTGCTAAAAACTATTTTTGTGTGTAAAGAGAAAGCAGCTAATCCTAATGTGTTAATGCCCACTATAGCTGCAGTAAAAGAAGGTGCTTATGATGATTAATGCAGCCACTCTTTTGGCTGTATTATATCATTAATGTGCAACCACTCTTTTCAAAGTTAAATGATTTACAGCATGATGGTGTGTGTAATGGAATTTTTGTCTCTCATATAGACAGAGTCAAAGATATTTCCACCCACTACTGGAGGAGCAGACAAAATGGCAGAGGAAATGGGCTTATCAGTTCTTGGTCATCTTCCACTAGATCCAAGAATAGGTACACACACACACAATGCACTGTATGTACGGATTGAAGTCATTGTGTATGACTTATAGCTTGTGAACAAAATTTATCTATTGTGTTGACAGTTGATAGGCTATCATAGCTTTAGTCATTCCACTACAGCATAATTTTTGCGTGTGGAGCAATTAAAATTCATTTAACTTTTATGCAATTTGGGCATATAGTATAATTTTTTGTGTGTGGAGCAATTAAAATTCATTTAACTTTTATGCAATTTGGGCATATTCCTGGCATTACCTGCATGCTATCAAGAGTGCATAGTTTTGCAATATGCACCATTAAGAGTTTTACATGGAGCTATTGTGTAGCAATTAGCAGCTTTGAATCCGTCATTAGAATCGGATTATCAATAGAAGCATTCAGAATGCAGGTGCATTTTGCATGCTGCGGTACTAGTATTAACCATTTCGCATTTATATAGTGACAACTTTGAGTGTTTTTAAGTCCGTTATTCGACCTCATGGCCTTCCAGTTACAATCATTGTTTACGCAAGGTATAACATTTATTCAGTCCCTATTAGCAATACTTCGAAATATTATAGATGCTGATTTTGCTGCATGCTTGAGGTTAAAAATGCCCCCAGCCCCAGGCCTCCCTTTGTTTCACTCAGTCCAATAAGCTGAGCTTGCAATAACCTTCCAGATTGTTCCAACCACTTCAAACACTGAAGCCACTACCCTAGTAGGATGGCAAGAGTGCTCCTGGCACTCCTATTATTTTCATAGCTGGTCCAAATATTGATAACTGACATAACAAATTAATGGGTGTATATTTGGCTAGACACTATGTTACTATGTTCTTCCCATTTTGTTTAGGCAAGTGTTGTGATATGGGGCTATCATTTATCAAGGAAGTATCAGATTCACCTGCAGCTTTGCAGTACATCAGCATCATGAAAAGTGAGCCCTCCTTTTCCAGGATAAGGATTAGCTCGAAACTGTTTTGTGTGTTGCAGATTAGGTGCCCAATCTTGCACAAAATGCAATAATAATTCTGTTTTTAATTAGTTTTGAAGTTGTCTTAGGTGATAAGCAGCCATAGTGTTGTATATAATACCACTCATTGACAGCTTAAAAATAGATTCGTTTGCAGGATCTTTGTCTCTACTAGTAGCCAAAGCCCCTTCCTTTAACAAACAGGAAGACATACTGGCTCTAGCAGAGAGCTATTGAGCTTTGGGTTTTCTTGTTTGAAACTCTCCACTTGACCCATTATAATAAAAACCATTGAAATGTATTATATAGATAATTTTGATAATTATAATAACAATCGTATAATAATTTTATTCATTATTCGTTTTATCAGAGATCTTGCTAGCCTGTGGAGACACAGATGAGAAACAATAGTAGTGGCAAGGAAAGAAAGGGAGAGAGAGGAGGAGGAGGAGAAGTCTGTAATCATATTGTCATTGTCTGTGATGTTGTTTCTGATCCTGAACTGAATGCCTGATAATGTAAAATAGAATCAGTAATAATTTATTTGTCATTATGTTATTATTATAAAAATTATAATTATATAAAAAGAGTAACATTACTTGTTTCATTAACTGTCGTCCAATGAACTGCCCTGCCATAGCCCTTATCTTGGTACCGGCATCTTTGCGACACTTTACATATCCTATCACGTTAGCACCGTTTAGAGCCACGCCCACGATTGGTATCAACTAAAATAACAACGGAATTATCAGGAAGAGACATTATCAGGAAACGATCGGATAGATCATCATCATCACATGAGAAAAACCAGAACTACAATATCCCACAAGTGTGATGTCATTTCCATCCCACTCTTAATCCTTTCCCACACACACACACACACCTAATACTTTAAAGGCTGTCTCGGTATCCCCTACTCTTATGTTTTAGTAAACAGTAATTAGTAACATATTATCACCAAACATTCCTTTGGCCTTTACTAATAGTCGGATACTCTCTAATTGCTAATAATTAATTCTGTGAGTGAGTACATTTAACCACACTAATAAATATTAGTCATAATAATAATATTATTATCATTATTTGAATTCAATCTCACCATCCACATCCAGGCAAATTTGAGTAAAGCCGTGAATATAAAGACAATCCATAACACAGGAAAGGCAAACAATGACACCCAGAAGACTACACTTTCAACATTTGATGATGGAGCCTAGATACAACATGGTTAAGATTATAAGGAGTTTTATAAGTATACATAACATGTAAATCAATGTTTCCAAGGAGTTTTGGGGTAGTGTTTCTTGTCAGGGGATTTTAAAGTTGCTCAAAAATTTGACAATACCATAATACTATATAGGGTATTTTTCAAAAATGGTTAGGAGAGAATTCTTATAATGTTTTCTGATACATATACATGTTCTCATGTTGTATAGCAAGTGTGAGCTAATTCCGATCAAAATTGAATTTATTACGAATTTTTTTTAAAGTTACTTAAAAATCGGCCCAAAGTCCCTGTACTATAGTACAGGGACTTTGGCCAGATTTTGCCAAAAATGACTAAGAGAGAATTCTTCATTTTTATAATGTTTTCTGATACGTATACATGTTCTTATGTTGTATAGCAAGTTTGAGCTAATTCCGATCAAAATTGAATTTATTATGAATTTTTAAAGTTACTTAAAAATCGACTTAAAGTCCCTGTACTATAGTACAGGAACTTTGGCCAGATTTTGCCAAAAATGACTAAGAGAGAATTCTTCATTTTTATAATGTTTTCTGATACGTATACATGTTCTTATGTTGTATAGCAAGTTTGAGCTAATTCCGATCAAAATTGAATTTATTACGAATTTTTAAAGTTACACAAAAATCGACCCCCCTGAAACTTTGTGGGAAACCCCGATACAGGTGTACATAAAACATGTGGATAAATCATCACTACAATAGAAATAATGGCAATCAAAGCATAAAATAAACATATACACAATTAAAAGTAAAAGCATAAGAGTTTGTCAGCAAAATAATCCAAAATTATAATCCAAAAAAATTAATAATTATATTACAAAATTCATCTAATGAAATCAATACAAAAATGCAATTTTTTAAAGGTAAATAAAATATTACGCAAAGTATGTGTGGATGTAACCGAGAGAACTTTGATGCTCTTATAGGTAAAATTGATGCAAATAATTCTCATAAAAATATTTAGAGTGCAACAGAAACCAAACAAGCTATGCAATGATACCAATGTAACACTCCCACGCATTTAATTAATATGAAGTAATGTGGGTGTGGCCAGTTATTAAAGGAGATTCTAAAGGAATTATAGCTTTACTTGTTTGGATTCAAACTGCCATACGCTTGTCCCATCCTCCTCTACTTTGTTCCACCATCTTAGCCCGACCAACAGTCGGCCGGTGACATTCTTCACGACCCAAAAATCCAAAGCCAACAAAAGAATAATTGCTATAAACAATTGAACAAAACTACTGCTGAATACGTAGGACCCAAAGACGTACAAAACCAGCGCAAGTGATCGAAAGAGTACATGGAAGAATAGTGCTATGGGATGTCTATAAAAATATTTAAAAATTATTAAAAATATTTTACGAGCATAGCTTGCTTTATTGCTCTTTGTGAGGGAGAGCCTTCATCGCCAAAAGCCAATAAGACCTCTTCTTGGTTACTCATGAAAACCTAAAAATTTAAAGAAAGGGTTAAAATAAAAACAGGCGTGGGTAGTTATAACTTTTATTTGATCACGTGACTTGTTTGGTAATTAATTGGGCGTGACTAATGTGAATCCGAGTGGATCACGTGATCTTGTATGGGCGTGGGTCAAGCTAGAGATCTTGTACCATTTAGGACAAGGTCGAGGACAACGAGAGAAAATACAGTAAAATCCAGAGATCCAGGCATGGCTTTCAACTGTTTGAAGACAGAGGAAGAGAAAGAGGGAGAGAGGAGGAGCAGACAGATCGACCGCCAGCTCAAATCCCTCGACAAAGAGAAGGACTGGAAGAGAGAAATGAAAGTTCTTCTACTGGGGGCAGGAGAGTCTGGTAAAAGCACCTTCCTCAAGCAGATGCGTATCATACACGGCGAGGACTACTCGGACAGCGACAGGCTGGAATTTCGTCCACTGATATATCACAATATATTGAAAGGGATGAAGGTCCTGGTTGAGGCTTGCCGTAGGCTTCAGATACCATTCTCAGAGCCAGATAATGATAGTAAAGGTGACATAGTTTCCAGTGGCTATCAGCACTCACAGGAGCTAAGCCCAGAGGAATTTGCGCCTTACGTTGAGCCTCTCAAGTCTCTATGGAAAGATACTGGGATTCAGACTACACTAGCACGAAGCAATGAGTTTCAATTGGTACGTTTAAGCACCTAAACATTATTTCCTCCTAGAGTCCTCTCTTTGTTTTGTGATCTCTCTTCATTCATTTTGTTCCTCTTTTGATTCCTATCCCCCTTTCCTTGTTTAGCTCTGCCTATGCACAATATTAACTGCTTTGTAACAATACAATGGGCCATTGAGTGGTTTTCAAATGCATCAAAAAAACTTTTTCTTTCTCCTATTCCCTTTCTTCCTTCTCTTACATGGTTCGTAGTATATGTGTGGCTAGGGCATGCATAGACATGTAGTAATATAATTGTACATTGCCTTCCTGTGAGTAGCTGCTACTATTTTTTGCATTTTTACAATTTGCTAACCTCCCAATGATAATTGTGTCTCTTTTGTTAACATGTAGGGTGACTCTGTGCCTTATTTTCTTTCTAAATTAGAAGTCATTGGAGCAGTGGTAAGAGAGAGAGGGAGGGAGGGGAGAGAGGGAAAGAGATGAAGTAGTGAAGAGGATGTTGTGTGTGTGTGTACATCTTAATGTAACTAATAATTGAGTTATTATAAAAAGTGCATATATTGTGCATTTTTTCTTAAGAACACATGGCATTGTTGTAATAATAACTCAATATAGCTTCATTACAAAGGCATATAACCAGCAATAAAGGCTCTAATTCAATTAGCTCTGCATTATGGGAGAGATTATACGCGTGTAGGCTATAAACAAGGCTTCTTTTTCTAATGGAAAATGGAATGAGCTTATAAATGCTATGTATCTGTAATTGGAATTCACTGTTTAGGGAAAGAATGTGGTATAGCAGGAATAATTTATGAAATGTTAGCTCTATTGTTCACTAAGGAAGCTATGCACTCAAAACGAATGAGACTTGATGTATAATGTATGCGTAATATTAATGCACAGCATAAAATGAAGAACTATAGTAACAATAACAATAATGCTAACAAATAATAACTATCTGCCAGCTGACAGTTTGGTAACATTTCCCTTTCACATATGCATTCTCTTCCAGGACTATCTACCATCAAAGGACGACATCCTAAACTCGAGGAAAGCAACAAGAGGCGTAGTTGAGTACACGACGGCTATTCGAAACCAGCAGTTTAGGTTCGTGGACGTCGGGGGTCAGAGATCGCAGCGGCAGAAGTGGTTCCAGTGTTTCGACGAAGTGACGGCCATATTGTTCATCGTTGCATCGAGCGCTTTTAACCAGACCCTACTGGAGGACAGGGTCACTAATAGACTCATCGAGAGTCTCAACATATTTGAGACTATCGTCAATAATAGGTGCTTCAGAAACGTCGCCATAATGGTCTTTTTCAACAAGTCCGATCTCTTGGAGACAAAGGTCCAGAACCCCAAAGTTGACATTAGCAAGTACTTCCCGGAGTTCAACGGGGACCCGCATAACCTAGACCACGTCAAGGGTTTCATGGTAGGAATGTTTGATTCCGTTCGTAGAAACCAACGCCAGGATTTCTATCATTATTTCACGACTGCTGTCAACACTAGAAATATACACATGGTCTTTGACATAGTGAAGGATATCATATTGTCAGGACACATTGGTCAAATATTGCAAATTTAACTAAGAACTAATAGTACAAATGTTGACTTGTCATACAATTTTATCCCTTGTTCTCTTCTCCTTTCTGTCTCACTCTCTCTCTCTTAGTCTTCACTTGATCATTAATGTTGTCTTCTTTTTCTCCTCCTCTCTCTTGATAAAAAAAACCCAGCAACTAGCACTGACCATCTAGTACTGATTTCGTAACTATCAATATTAATATTATTATTATTATTATTATTATGTGTGTTTTATAAAGAAACTAAATAATATTATTGTTCTTGTTGTCATTATGTTGTCTTTGATGTTTTTAATATATATAAAATAAATGATGCAGTCACAATTTCTATTGCTAACTAAACCATAATGATACTAGTAATAAATAATAATAATAACTAAAATGTAAATTCTTTGTAAGCTGTTAGTCATTCTGAAAATATGGACACCTGGAAACATAAACCCTAAACAGAGTAAGAAAAACAAATGTTAAAGTGAACTCTTCCTTTTATACACAACATGCATAAGAGGAAAGAGGGAGAGAGAGAGGGAGTGTACTAAAATAGAACAAGTGAAGTCAATTTTTAGCCGTTTATTTTTTAAAGTCTATTTGTAGCAGCGTGATAGCCACATCAGTACTTTATTACAAAGAGTAGTCTTAGACCCTGTTTACACTAATCCATTTTCACATGTAAACGGAAACGAGACTTTTTGATTCTGATACAGCTTCTGTTTACGCTAATACATAAAAACGCATCACCTATCCGAAGCAAAATGTAAAAGGATATACCAAAGTGGATACTTCTATAAACGAATGATAAATCTTATGAAAATGCAGCTGCTGGATTAGTGTAAACACCTGAAACGAATAATAGCAATTTAGCAAATATTCAATAATAGCAAATAATAGAGTGTCCTACTGTGCCTATACCCCCTGATTCATCACGGCATAGAATTGAAGAGTCGCATTCGGGATATTTTCAGTATTTTCATTGAGTAGTTATAGTTATTGCTAGTTATTTTCGAATAACTACTCAAAAATACTGAAAATATCCTGAATGTGACTCTTCAATTCTACGACGTGATGAAGCAGGGGGTATATGCACAGTAGGACACTCTCTTCTATTATTATCTACTCTTGCTGAAACGAATAATAGCAAAAACAATTTGGATTCAGTGAAGTGGATTAGTATAAACGGGGCCTTAATTTAATTATTACTACTCCTACACTGCACAGTGCAAAACTTGATTTTCAATTTATATGACACTTATACCTCTAATTAAATTAAAACCAAAACTAGTATACATACGCATTAATTAATTTTGAAAATCTAATTGTGCACAGGCCCATAACAAAATTATAAATGCAGTTTATGAAAAGCATCAAAATAATTATGACTATTATTAATATTATCATTTGGATTGAGCTACTTTTATCCAATTATTATTATTAAATATTTATTTCGTTGTTTTCAAAATATGAAAATATTGTGGAAACTCGATTCCTTCTTCAGAGCTTCAGGCACAACAATTATCCCTTCATGATAAACACGAGCAAATTCATGAAATACAAACAAGTGGTGCTATTACGCTAATTAATATTATTATTATTATTATTATTTTGAACCCTACACTACTCGCTAACCAAAATAAAGGTCACTGGTTACCTGTAATGCTTTCTATTAATCATCATCATCATCATCTGGTATGTAAAATTCGTATTCCTCGAGGAATTCAGCAAACTGTCCTCCAGCCCAATAGCCCAGATAGACAAAGGGTATGGCAACAAAACCGAGCCGAAACAGGACGAGATTGTAATGCCTGATCGGTTTAGAGACTAAGGCACCAGATTGTGTGGTTGTTGTTCGTCTCAGTGCTAAATTACTCCCGTTAAGAAGGAGGGAAGAACATTTTCTAAGGAGCCCCAAAGACGCCATTTTGAATCACGTGATTAGATAGGCGTGGTTTACCACCCGCCATTTTGAAACAGTCAAGGGTTAATATTCCAACAAGCCCAACCATAAAGATGTCCAGCTCTGTCCTCCCTTTTGTGAGAGGAGTCGACTTCTCTGGGAATGATTTACAGGTATATTGGTCTCTTTTTCACATACCACCTTTCTCTGCCACTAATTTTTCTATTTTCTTTATCTTTTATTAATTCAATTCAGGAATCAGAACTGAAAGAAAATGTCCTCCATATGAACAACCTTCGTTGGCTTCGTCTCAATCGTACCCAGATTGAGAAGATACCCGATCATATTGAAAAATTCTCCAAATTGGTACTTACTATATTGTTGCAATCACTTGCATGTATCGTTATAACTGTCACAATTTAATTATCCATTTTTGATGACA